CTGTCCCTGCCTCTGTCCTTAGAGGGGCGCATCTTGAACTTCCTGCGCGTCCCACTTCCCAGACTGCCAGTGACGGGCTCGAGAGTTTAGGGTACATAAGGAATGAGAAACCGGGCCCCAGACCCGGCAGAGGAGACAGCCGTTAATTACAGGCATTCCTAGCCAGCTAGAACGAAAAAACCCAAACCATCCCGCTTTGGAAATTTCTTCTCCCGTCACTGTTTACATCGCACTTTAAAATTAGTTAAACCTCCACCTAGCCCCGTTAATAAACCGCAGCAGAAATTCGATTAAGTCGAAGATTTTTATCGCGTATTAACGTTTGCAAAAAAAGATTAACTTACAGATATATCGTTTGATAATGTTATGCATTAAAATATTTCCCTAATTCAAGCACAATCTTCTGCTTATTGAGTTAACGAAAAACATCCTTTTTCTTGTAGGATAAAAAAAAAATGAAGTGCTGTAAAATTCATGCCTCTCTCTTTAACCCGGCAGATGGAAATTCAGGTACGTTACTGGGTTATAAAGAAGATAAAAAACAAAGCAAAAAGTAAAGGGGGAAAAAAGGAGTCCCGGATGTATTTTCAGATGCATTTATGCATTCCGATCTGGGAATACTAGATAAATAAGACAACTTAATTATTCTGAATTGTGAATATTGTTTTGCCCCTTTGACGCCTACTCTAAATAAACACGGCAACAAAACGGTGAATTTCTAACAGCGCGTTTATATTTTGGCCATAAACAATTATTACAGCGACCGTTCTTATGACAGGATGTATCCTTTTAAGGGAGCGTTTTACCTGTAAACAGTCTGGCGGAGGTGACAGCTGGACTCCTGCAATCTGGAACAATTCCGACCCCCCACCGAATAAATCAGAGGCGAATTTCACTGTTTTGTACCAGTCAGGGCAAGGTCTACTCTATTTTCCCGAGAAAAATAAAAGCCATGAAATGTAGGGACTTGACTGTCCCGATTTAAGCAAAAGACATTTGCTTCCGAAACGGGAGTTTACTTTTAATGGCTGTAATCTGGGAAATATAAATAGCCTTAATAGTAGAGAGAAGCTCACCTGAACCTTAGTTCCTCACAACCGTACTACAATAGGCGGCATTGTCAAATCACTTTGCTAAATAAAGTGCTTGGGTAAATTAATTGTGTGTGCTTAAAAAAAAAAAAATAAAGAAATGGCTAAATGCGAATGGTATGTCTCGCTCCCTGTGCAGCAGCTATGCGAATACGGTAATTGGGCTCTGTATTAAATGTACAGAAAAATAAGTATGTGCATTTTTATAGGGAGATAAATTGACAATTTATTGTGTCTAACTTCTGATCAATTATTAATCGTTAATGTCAACAACAGGGTTATAATTACCTTCAGTTATTTAAAGGAATATTTATTTTTCTTCTCTCTGATCTGGTAATTAGTTAATGCTCTGGTGTAATGAATTCGAAGCTGATTTGATTATGATTTAGACAGTTTCCCCCTGCTCTTTTGGCAGCCCCTTCTGCCCAGCTCTCGGGGGAGAGAAGCACCCCGATGTAGAAGACGCCATTTAATAGCAAAACTCGCAACGTTCACGTTTCAGGGCATAAATAACAATTCTGGAGGAAAAGGGAGAAATGACAACCAAATAAACAGCAACTGGAAAAAGGCTAATCAAAGTTGGTTGGGTGCGGGCTGCTCAAAGCAGCAGTAGGTCTGAGTCCCATAAGGTGCCAGCAGTTCTTGCTTTTCTCTGCTTGATTAAGAGAAAGGGCAAACAGGACATTTTAACCCCTGCCATCTTCTCGCGGGAGAAAAAATAAATGGGCTTGATTTTCGGCCACCGTTAAAATCTGCAAGATAATTTAGCGTTAGTAGATTAAGATGGGAAGCAATCTGCTCTGGAACTTGGTAGGTTGCAGGAGAAAAAAAGTACATTGCAACGGTTGGCTCGTGGGGCATCTGAAAAGTGAATCACATCTGGAAGTTATACAATAACGTTAACTGTCTTAAAGGCACAAGTTTGAGTAAAACGTGGAAGAGAGGGGGACGAATTTAAAAAAAAAATCTAGCACGGAGAAGCATGCAATGCTTTGTGATAATTAAGACTTTCCTCAGAAAACTGCTTCTAGTAATATATCTTAATGTGGAAGAGCCTTTAAGGCTGCTAATCAGCTGGGAGGCACAATATGGACAAAGACAGGCATAATCACTGATTTGCCATCTCCCAACGATTTCAGGGGGTCTGGTTAAATCTATCAGGCCTGATACTTGAAATAATAATAAATAATAATAATAATAATAATACAAGTTTAACATTTAACCTTTGAACCCTTTTGTTCAACGTTTGAAAATCTAAAAATCTATTTTGCCCAGATCCCCTCCTTGAACTAAATTTTATGTAATACATTGTTAGTTTAACGTTGAAGATTAATGCATTACAAATAGTACAATGGAAAACGGTATGCCGCTAGAGTGTTTCCACACTGCAACAAAAATGCAATGGGGATTGCAGTCAAAATGAAAGTTTTCAAATTAATTCAGCTTGACAGCTTTGATATCACCCAGCTCCCCTTTCTGTAACTGTCCACAAATGAATGCAGTTTCCAGAGTGTATGTTTTAATTTGTCACATCAAGGCAATAAAGGCAGCAATATATACGTAAGCCAGTTAACATTGTAATAACAGGTTTAAAGAGCAATTAAATGGTAGTGAGTCGCATGTCTGATTTTCAATAGGCATTACCACATCAATGGTACCTTTTAGACTGACTATAACTTAGCATGATTGTCTCAATTAGTTTAGCTACACGATAGTTATCCTGAACTCTTTGTGAGTAATCAATGTTACGCAAGTTCACTGGACTGAGCCGTTACCATTGGAGAGCAAGACGTGAACATGCTAAGTGACATGGGCCTCATATTTCCAGAAAGCAAATCTGTTTTTTCCAGAATGAAATAAACAGTAATTTATAGTCTTATAAATCTGTTTCCGAAATAAGTGTAGCAAAACGTAGATTTATAGGCAAATAACTATTATTGGCCGTTGCTGATAAATGAAACGGTCACTTTAACGTCAAATGCGAGTCGTCCCTATTATATTTCTCTCTTTTTAGTGCCGAGTGCCTAAGATGTTTATTGTCACGACTCAGGCGCGAACTACAAATAACTTTGAGGGATGTTTACATCAAATTGTGTGTGTGACTACATATAATACTTATCTGCTCAGATCACGTAAATTTCACTGTTAATATCATAAGCAGTCCAAATGTTCGCCGTTATGGGTATAGAATCGTAGTATAAATATAAAGGATACTCTGGGGGAAAAGATCTGTAAAATGTGGGTGTAAGTGACATATAATGAAAAGAGAAAGGTCCTGCAAGAGCAAATCGCTGTTGAGTAACTTGCTAATGTTTCATCACGTATGGATCTCTCTTCATACCACGTTATGGGCGACCAATAAAAATACAGAGATGCAAATTTAGTGAAAGTTGTGTGAACCGTTTTAAAACACTAGCAAGTTCGCAGTGTTTTCTGACAAGGAAAAAAGAAAGCGCACCATTAAATTTTAAGATAAATAACAGGCAGGGCAATATCTGTTGTGGAAGTTATTCTCATTAGTCCTAACATTGTCTCACCATTAGACAGGGCTGGAGTCAGCCTCAGCCCTAAGATTTGAGATCTGCAAGCTTTTTTTGCATGCACATTACATTTCTGTCATGCTTTGCAGCAGAACACGATATCCCCAAAGAGGGGAAAAAAAACCTACCCTGACAGCAACCATTAGTTAAGAGTGCAATGAATAAACCCCTTGCACAAGAGTATCAGAACTAATTAAGATTCTGTTTAGCAGCCCTGGATGGAATGTTAATGCAGCTTTGACTAACTGGGAATAAGCAGGGGGGGAAAAAACCTGCATTTTAAGAGGAATGCTGGGGTGATAACATCTCTCACTTCTTCTGTCCAAGGTCTGCCCAAGCCTGTTACAAAGTCATTATCTCAAATTACTCCTGTACTTCATTTTTAGAGGGTTTTGGGCAAGCATAGATCCCTTGGCGTTGAAGCGCTGCGTAGAGCCTCACAAAGCCAATACTCTCTAAGGGGATAAAGGCTGAATCAACCCACGATCTCTACCTTAGAAAGTTTGCTGGTACCAGCTCCTTGGACAAATATAGCCAGAATTCTGAAGGCAGATTAGGATCTATTGCTGGCGTCTCAGCACAAATCCCTAAAGGCTTTTTGACCCTTTGAAGTTTCGTCTATTTTGCTTACACAGAAGTTTACATGATTAAGTCAGGATTTTACAAGGCTCAACAAGGCAAATTTAGTCACCTCGGAACACTCAACACCAAATAAAATAAATAAATAAATCCAGTTGTCCTGCTACTCATTAAGCTACAGAAATCCTATGTACTGTGTAATATATCTCGGCGATTAACCTAATATAGAAGGAGAGAGATATCGCCAAGTTTTCCAGGTTTGTCTTAGAAGAGGCAGTGTGCATTATTCACTAAATCCTCGTTGCTGTGTACTAGGTATTGGTATTTGTAAGAGTAATTAGCATAATGCAAGGTCTATAACCCGGAGAGACAATAAAAATATACTTCTAGAAGTCCTTACCAGTGCTTCTACATTTCTATCCCCGTTTTGACCCTTCTTATCCAGACAATTCCATCTTTCCAAAGTAAACGTTTCCCACCATTTTACCTGTTAAAACAACCTGTTAAAATGAAAATCTGTGCGTGATGAGAGAGCCGCAGATTCACAATATAAACAATACGGCAGAGTTGGTGCTTGGGGAATATCACCTGTTAAAAGACACTCGTCAGTCAGGGCAGTAGGTTGCTTGAGACTGGAGTTGCATGTGACCCGCCATGTTTTTCTTTTTGTGTTTGTTTTCGCTTTGTCTGGTTTTACGAAACTGCAGCATCTTACTGGCTCGGCCCTGGTGCTTGTTTTGAGTGCAACCCACCCCCCGCTTTGCGGACTAGCTAATGCTGCAGAGTGCCTTTCCTGAAAGGAAGGAAATGAGCCGCGCTGGCTAATAAAATAAATAACAGGCCTGACAGTCTGCAAAGTTTTGCGGCTGCTGCGTCTGTGAGTTGCAGGGACAACAGGGCAATCGAATGAGCTGCAGATTTCTCTTCCTTAATTGATCTATAATTGATGAATGGATTTTCTTGTGCGGCTGAAGAGTGTCTAAAAACTATTAAAGAGGTAGGTGTACTGAGCGGTGTTACTTTTGTAAGGGATCAGAGGGGTAGCAGTGTTAGTCTGGATCTTTGCCGCTTTTGTAAGGGAGGTAGTTAAGAGCAGCTGGGAGCCTTTATCAGTGAGATATCTGAGTCGGGAAAAGGAATGCATTAGCTATCTATGGATGGGATTCAACTTTCCACAGGTCTCTAGCATTTTCAGCCTAAAGTAATAGGTGACTCACATGGGGCTGGGACTGGGGCTGAACGTAGGCCCTCTCCTACCATGGATTCTGAAACCAGACTCCCCACTGATTTCAATGAGGAGTTCTGCTTCCAAACTGATGTAGGAAAATGTAAGTTGAGTTTAATTGTGTCAGCAAAGAGGAAACAAAATGTTGTATCATTTCTATCCCAGGCATTTTGATTACTGGAGAGGGGGATTTTCAGACCTGTTAAGGTAGAAACAGATATTTCAAATTACAGTATCCTCCCATAGGGCTGTTCTCGCAAGCTAAATATTTGCTGCTGGCTGTAATGAGATGTATTCCTTTAAGAATGAGAGCTCACCTCAGCAGAGCTGGGACAAAATTATGGTATTTTGGGCTCAAATTGTTCCCCCCTTATCTGTGCATGGAGCTGGGTAAGCACTGAGCTGCTTCTAGCACATCATCCCTTCCTCCTGAGGTCCTGAGACCTTGCAGAGGGCTTTCCATGTACTCAGGAACTGCATGGGACGCTGGGGCCTGGCATTTGACAAGCTGGCTGGCATGAGGCCTGGGCATATCGTCCTTCCATCAGCACTTGGAGATGAAAAGCCATTCTGCTAGGGAGGTGGCAGGCCCCAAACCCAGCCCAGAGAGGCAAGAGTCCAGATCCACAAAGGCACTTAAATGCCTGCATACCAGTTTTGTGTTCGCTGTGATCAATAAAGCCCCCACCAACCTGGTAGGTGCCTAAACTCATTCTGCACCTAAATTTTCAGGGTAAAAGTTTCCTAGTCTCCTAAATTCTGCCTCTGGGCATGTGCATTGCTGTCTCCATCTATATTGTTATCTCCTGACTAAACTCCAGAGCTATTCACAAACTAGGGGAAGATTGGCATTCATCTGCTTAAGTCACATGCAGGGCCTGATCTGGTAGGCAGCCTCTGAGCAGGCCTGCCAGATTGGGCCCCAGTCAAAATCCAGCTGGAGTACAAGGTGTTCTCCACATTATAATGTTTAGCCCAGTGGTTAGAGCACTCACCTAGGATGCAGGAGATCCAGATCCAATTCCCATCTCTCTGCCAGAACAAAGAAAGCATTTGAACCTCTTCCATCTGTCAGGAGGATGCGCTGACCAAAGAACTGGGATATTTTGATATGCAGCTTCTCAATCTCTCCTGCTGAAGCTGTTCCACTTGTGGATAAATAGTGATAGATTGATTAGAGCAGCCAGACTAGACTCAGGGTCTTCCACCTCCTATAGAGTCATTCTCCTCTTTCTTTCTGGCCCAATTACTGTTTATGAGAATGCCTCTGTTATCCAGTGGTTAGAGCACCCTCCTGTGAGGTGAGAGGTACCCTGTTCAAATCCCACATCTAGTAGAGAAGGGGGAATTGAATCTGGGTCTCCCACATGCCAGCCAAATATTCTAACCACTGGGCTAAACGTTATAAGGTGGGCACCACCACTCCTCCTCCCCAGCTCTTTAATGTCAACTTTAAAGCGGGATGGAAACTTAGTCCCCGAATCTGCAGAGAGTTTCCCTGGCATTTTAGAGCATAGGCCAAGTCCATGGCAATCACAGTCTTTCGCTTGGCATGTTCAGTGTAAGTAACAGCATCACGGATGACGTTCTCTAAAAATACTTTCAGCACTCCTCGGGTTTCTTCATAGATCAATCCGGAAATACGCTTTACGCCACCATGGCGTGCCAAACAACGAATAGCTGGCTTCATGATACCTTGAATGTTATTACGGAGTACCTTGCGATGGCACTTAGCACCCCCCTTTCCCAAACTCTTACCACCTTTTTCCGTGACCAGACATGATGCTACAACCTTGAAAACACTCTGCTTGTCAAGTGAGGCAGGTACTATTGCCTCAAGAAAGACCTTACACATCTAAAATACCTGACTGAAGGCGATGGGCTCCTGTTTGTGGCTCACTAAGCAGCAATAGGTGCCTACCTGCAGCCCAGATTTAGATAGGTGCCTGTCTCCGTGTGAGGGGTGAGTCTTAGACTACACCTTTCTTGTTGGCATCTCCATTGGGTAGCTTAGGTGCCCCCCTGCCTAGCATGGTGGCTTTTGTAGATCCCATTCACATGTAGATCCTCTCTCTCCCCATTCATTATATAGAGAGTGTAGCTGTGTTTGCTCTAAACTGAGCGCTTGGGCAACCACCCAGGAGTGATTCAAGTGCATTGCACATCCAGCAGTGTGTGTTCAGGTGCCCAACCCCACAGTGCTTTGCAGCCACGTTGCTTCTGCAGCTGCTCCCAGGACCCTCCTGCTGGCTGTGCAGAGCGGGGATGAGGAAGAGGAGGGTGCTGATGTCAGGGTGTCTCCCTTCCCCTGCCCCTGTACCCCATCTCCACAGAGCAAGGGAGAGGGGACAGCCTGGCTCAGGACTCGGAGCAGAAGAGAGCTGCTGCGGTCTGAAGGAGTGTTCTCTTCCCAGTGCACAGTCTCTGAGATTTCCCCAGCAGCCAGCACAGTTTGTGGTGAGTTCTAAAATGCCTAACCTGTCCTGTAATTATTGCTATGGTAACTTTTAAAAAATATATATTATATCTAGGTTTTTTGTTTCTACTGGTGCACATAAAATTTATTCCACACATGGATGGAAAAAATTAGAGGGAACATTGGAGTGTAGGTGCCTAATTTAAGATTTGTGGATCACAGTGTTGTTCTTGTGCTTTTCTAGGTACCTAAAAGTTAGGCACAGTGGTGCTCAGTGTTGCAACACCTAAGTCCCTTTATGGATCCCACCCAAGGACATTCTTTGTCGATGGCTCTTACCTCCTGCAGATACTGGGAATCCACAGGTCTTGGGGTAAATCTGTGGCCCATTCTCCCTGAATGATCTGTGGGAAACAAAGTATAAGGGGATCCTCATTGAATTTTATTCCTCCTTTGTTCCTTCCTGTGTGCTATTCCATGAGAGGGGAAGGTCTCTTTGCTAGGAAGAGTCTTATAGAGAAAATACACTGCTTGTTTAAAACACAATTGAAAGTAGTATTGCCAACTCCAAACATTCAAATATTATGACTCAGGGCCCCCCAAAATCACAAAATTAATTTAGAAATAATTTTTAAAAAAATCCAAAAAATATTGGGTTTTCATAAGGTGCACTCAGATCACAATTTCAAGCATTTCTCCATAAATATGAGGACTAGAAATTTACTTTAAAAAAAGAGCTGAGATTCTTGCATAATCACTTGACTCCAGGAACTGGGGTTTAAGAAAAATACCAAGTATTAAGAGACTTTCAATAAAATTGTGAGACCTGGCAACATGGTGAAAGGTACTTGACCTTAAAATGCTGTTATAGTAAGAAAAGTGACTATTAGTGTCTCATTTTCTCCACAGATACACCTAAGGCCTGGTCTACACTGGGGTGGTGGTGGTGGGGAATCAATCTAAGTTACTCAACTTCAGCTATGTGAATAACGTAGCTGAAGTCAACATACTTAGATCTACTCACTGTGGTGTTTTCACTGCGGTGAGTCGACAGCTGACGCTCCCCCACTGACTCCGCCTGCGCCTCTCACCTCGGTGGAGTACCGGAGTCAACGGGAGAGTGCTCGGCGGTTGATTTATCATGTCTAGACTAGACGTGATAAATCGACCCCTGCTGGATCGATCTCTGCCCGTCAATCCTGTGGGTAATGTAGATAAGCCCTCAGAGATGTGCTTCCGAGTTATATTCGCTCACTTATCCCACTCTACTCAGCACTGCTGAGGCCTCAGCTGGAGTATTGTGTCCAATTCTAGGTGCCACACTTTAGGAAAGATGTGGACAAATTGGGGAGAGTCCAGAGGAGAGCAACAGAAATGATAAAAGGTTAAGAGAACCAGACATGTGAGTAAAGGTTTAAAACAATGGCATCTTTTGTCTTTAGACAAGACTGATGGGGGGACCTGAGAACAGTCTTCAAATATGTTAAGGCCTATTATCAGGAGGACACTGATTATTCCTCATATCCACTAAACATAGGACAAGAACTAATGGGTTTAATGTGTAGCAAGAGAGATTTAGATTAGAATTAGGAAAAAAACTTTCTAATTAGAAGGGTAGGTAAGATCTGGAAAAGGCTTCCAAGGGGGGTTGAAGAATCTGTATTACTGGAGGTTTTTAAAAAGAAGGTTGGACAAACATCTGTTAGGTTCACTTTTTTCTGCCACAGCACAGGGGGCTGTACTTGATGACGTCTCAAAATCCTTTCCAGCCCTATATTTCAATGATTCTGTGATTGATTCTCTAGGTCAGTAGTTCCCAGACTTGTTCTGCTGCTTGTGCGGGGAAAGCCCCTGGCGGGCCGGGCCGGTTTGTTTACCTGCCACGTCCGCAGGTTCGGCCAATCGCAGATCCCATTGCCACAGTTCACTGCTCCAGGCCAATGGGCACAGCTGGAAGCAGCGCGGGCCGAGGGACATACTGGCTGTGTGGAGGAGGGTAGCTCTTGGTTTGAGCATTGGCCTGCTAAACCCAGCGTTGTGAGTTCAATCCTTGAGGACGGCTGTTTAGGGATCTGGGACAAAATGGGGATTAGCCCTGCTTTGAGCAGGGGTTGGACTAGATGACCTTCTGAGGTCCCTTCCAACCTTGAGATTCTATGATTCTATGATTCCAGCAGCTCCCATTGGCCTGGAGCAGCCGCGGGGGGGGGGGGCGGGGGCGGCCGAACCTACGGACGTGGCAGGTAAACTGGCGCGGCCCACCAGGGGCTTTCCCCGCACAAGCGGCAGAACAAGTTTGGGAACTACTGACCTAGAGAATCAATCACAGAATCATTGAAATATAGGGCTGGAAAGG